GATTCTCACCGGCATAGCGCCAGTTGTGACCAAAACGAAGATAACCATACCTGATTTCGTTGGTCGCGCCTGGGAGTCACTCAAAGCATGAGGGATATGAAGTCGAAGCGAAGTAGACGGCACGCCGCTTCGCCACGCGAGGCCTGCAATCGGCCGAGAGTCGTCCCTACTGATGCCTGAGCAGTCTCATGATCGAGGCACTGCGCGTCGTGGGGGGCGGGGGCTCAGTGGCGACCGCGCGGTGCGGCGAGGGCCCCCTTCGCAGCGTGCTCCCGAGGGCCCTTCCCCGCCTGTCGCGCACCAGGCCGGGCAGCCGCACCCCCTCCCCTACGCGCAGAGATATTTCTGGGGCGCCGCTGCGCCTCTGTCACTGCGGCAGGGCCTCGGCGACCCGCGAGGGAGTCGGCCCGTCCGCGCCCCCTGCCGGGGGCTGCTCGAGGCGGCCCTGGCCCAGGCCGTGCTGCTCTCCGGGTCGAGGCCAACAGCACAGCGGCTGCTTCGCGCGCCGCCCGAGGCGGCTCACGGGCCGAGGTGCTTCCGGTTCTGCAGTGCACGGGTGCGAGCGCCTCCCCCCCCGACCCAGCTTCGGTCCAGCTGGGCCCGAGGCCCGCGCCAGAGCGCGCCGGGCAGGCCGAAGCGCGGCGAGTCCATGGCTGATGCGCACGTGCCGCCCGCCAATGAAGGCCTGGCCCCTGCGCCGCTGAGTCGAGGAAAATCATACGTGGACGTGTGGTTCGGGTGGCCGCCCTTGCCATGGAACCGGGGCCCTCAGACCATGACCCCAGGTACTACCCAAACAGGTGTGACAAGGGGCACCTTCCCCTGCCAGCCCCAAAACAAGCCCCAGACTACACCCCAGGCCCACGACCACTCCGACCTCTCCCAGAAGAGGCTCTGGGGGACAGCCCGGGAACGGCCCCAGAGGCGCCCCAAAAGGCCGCAAGAGGCCCTAAACACTGGCTATCGCCCGTCGGAGGTTGCTCCTCCGTCGGGCCCTCGACTAGCCTCCTCTGGCCTCTCGGCGCCTGCCCCAGCAATGCTCCGCGCCGCCCGCGGCCAGGATCAGCGCGAGCAGCAGCCCGGCCATGCAGAGCACTTCCCACGGCGACACCGCGATGACGACCTGGCCATCGCTCGGACGTCCATTCCCTGCGCTTTCTTTCGGCTTCGCGCGTGGTTCTTTCGCAGGAGGATCCAGGCCGAGAAAAAGTGCACACGTCCGGGCGATACCAAGCGACATGCGCTCCCTCCGCGTCATCAGCGCGCTCCACCCATGCCCAGCTGAGTCGTTTTCGGACGGTCCCGAGGCCCGGGAATGGCCCCCGGAGGCCGAAAATAGTGAGGAGGAGGGAGGAGGAGGAGGAGGAGGAGGAGGAGGAGGAGGAGGAGGAGGAGGAGGAGGAGGAGGAGGCAACCTGTCGCAGCCACCGCGGTGACCGCGGCGCGGCCCGGCAGAGCGGCCGCGCCCGCCGCCTTGGCCTGGTGGGGGCGCCCCCCGCCGCTGGGGCTGCGGCGCTGCGCTTGGCAGCCTCGTCCTTGCCGCTCCTGCCGTGGCTCGGCTTGACGACCCAGACATGATCGCGGCGTAAAAAAGTCATTAAGGTTTTTGGCCATTTTCGGCCTCGGGGGCCCTCGCCGGGCCTCGGGGCCGTCAAAAAACGACTCAGGACGAAAAACTGGCCCCAGGGGATGGGTCGGGATTTCCCGGGACGCCGTCCTGAAAAAATCAGGACGTCGCATGTCTGGGGAGGGGGGGCCGTCCAGCGCAGTCTTCTGGACCGGTGCCCACATCGGCTCGTGGGACTCCGTCAGCTAAGCGTGGACTCTGTCGGTGGCCCACCGCCGGAGCCGCCTGCTGCGCTGGAGGTCGCCACTGGTGCATCGAGGTCGCGGCCCCGATGCGCCGGCTGCGGGGACACCCCGTGGGCGGCTGGCCCGCTCGCTACTGCCGCCACCTGCAGGTAGCGCTGCACCTCCTCGATAGGGGGCCCCGTCCGCCCAGCGAGACAGCGAGAGCGAACGCTCCGACCATGTGGACCTCTGGGAGAAAGGCGACTCCATCTTGGCCAGGGCGTCCACCAGGCAGAGGGTTGCCCGGGTCCTGCACTGACTCCTGGCGCAGCCCACGTTGTGCTGGTCCATCTTGCCCCCCGCGATGTGGACCACGACCTCCTGGCTGGCTGCTCGCGCTGCCCTCCTCTATGTTGCAGACCTGCACCGCTTGCTGTACCAAGTACTTGGAGGCGCGCGCAGCAGAAAGAAGAACGCCGTCATGATCGCCGCCCATGAAGGGGCCCTGGCACACGAACATGAATAGACACAAATCCCAGGATTCCCCTGTAGTTTCTGGACTTTCGTCTTCCACCCCACTTCCCACATTTCCCAACAGTTTCCTTGGGATCGACGCTTGATTGTGTCTGTGTGTCTGTTCCTCCCCCGAGCTCAGCAGGCCCGCGCACCCTGGCTCGCCCAGGGTGGGTGGCCTGGCTGCCCGGGAAGT